GAATGGGGCATAATGTGTTTTTTGTGTTTTCACACATGTTTTTTCTTCTGCCTAGAACCTTGTTCCCATCACACCCTCCCCCTTCCTCACCTCCTCTGTTCAATTCTGCCTTTTCTGCTGTCTGAGTTATAGCCACTCGTTCTTCAGGATTCCCTTCACCTGTCCATGGCATTCTAGTAGATGGTAAATAAATGATCGTGGGGTATGGCTCCTAACTCAGCATTTCTCAAATGCATCTTCCTGGCTCCCCTAGTGGTCGGTTGCCAACAGTCCCATGAGTTAGCCAAAAGTGCCATCTGGTGGCATATGCAGAGGGTAACAATCACCTCCAAACGGAGCATTTCTCTAAGAGGGACAGAACCTGGAAAAGGGGACAGGGATTTTCTCCCCACCACTACATATAACAGCAAGAATCTACTATTGCTCTTGCCTATGCAGATAATTTCCTTTTCTACCTCCACTTAAAACTCTCACCTGGTCTGGAAGTAGGTTTTATCATTTCCATCTTACACATACAGAATCTGAAAGAGGGGCCTCCTTTAATGAAGCCCACCTCTTGCAGAATTGGAAGCAGATGAAGGAGAGTAGGTCAGGACTGGCTTTTTCTGCTCCTCCAGGGTGGGAAATTCTCACTTAGAACTGGGGGGAAGGATCTTCCTAATGGAGTGATTATAGATGATCCCTGCCAGTGATGCAGTTCACGACACTTAGGAAGAGAAACTTGTTTAGAGCCTCATGTGCTGGTGTGGTGAAGCCTACCATTAAGGAGGAGGGGGGATGAGTTCCATTAATGCAGGAATAACAGTCTTCTGTAAGTTCACAGAGCAGAGACGGAGGTGGTGGATCAATGGCATGTGTGATGTGAGTCGTGTCATGGGTACCAACGAAGGAGGTTTCCCCACAGATAGGAAGCCAGGACCATTTGCCAGTGAGGGACTTGGGAGGGAACACTAGGAACCTATTGAAGACTTCCTAATAAAGGTTGTCATAACTGACAGGGTCACTAGAAGTAGCGCAGTGGCAGTGTAGTAGACAATATGTAGACAGCTTAAGGGGATTCCACTTCAGGCCATACATCTACCCAACATTTGATGCCCAGCAAGTGATCTGGAATCACTGAGTTGGGCTAGACATCAAGATTAACTGATTTTTAAAAATTGGTGACACCTCCATTAAGATATAATTTGCACAGCATATAATCCAGCCATGGAAAGTATACAACTTGATGGGTTTTTAGTATATTCATAGAATAGGGTACTAGCACCACAGCAAATTTTAGGACATTTTTATGACCCCAAAGAGAAACCCTATACCCTTTTACCAAAACTCTGTGACTTCCCCCTCATCTCCAGCCCGGTGCAACCACTTA